CAATGCCTGGGGTGCTCAACCATTTGAACCACGCATCCAGTCCTGCTTTGTGTGTATCCTGGCGTTGGAACTTAAGGCCTGGGCTCTGTCCCTAAAGTTTTTTTTTTTTTTTCTCAAGGCTAGCGCTCAACCACTTTGAGCCACAGCTCCACTTCTGGCTTTTTTTTGGAGATAGACTCAGGGACTATTCCTGCCCAAGGTGACCTTGATCCTCAGATCCAAGTCTCCTGAGTCCCATGAGCCACTTACTGATGCCTGGCTTTTTTTTTTTTTTGCCAATCCTGGGGCTTGAACTCAGGTCCTGAACACTGTCCCTGAGCCTCTTTTATGCAAGGCTAGCACTCTACTACTTGAACCACAGCTCCAGTTTTTTTCTGTGTCTGTGGTACTGAGGAATCAAACCCAGGGCTTCATGCATGCTAGGCAAGCGCTCTACCACTGAGCCACCTTCCCAGGTTCCCCCCTCCCTCTAACATCAGTTTTGGGGTTCCTGTTGCTATTTCAACTTAGGAACGCTTTGGAAAACAGTCATCAGAGTTCAAGCTCTTTGGCTCGCCTGGTGGACAGAAGAATTTACTGTTCAAGGATTTCACCATTGGGTTTTTGAGGGTGCCGCCCAAGATTGACGCTAAGCTCTACCTGGGATCCAGACACATCACTGCGTTCCAGAACCTGAAAGAAAGTGAGTGAACCCCATTGGGCAGGTGCCAATGTGTGGGTGAACCTTCTGAATAGTGGATCCTTTCTGAAGGACTCTTCTATCTCATAGTGACTGGCAGGTGTGTGTGTGTGTGTGTGTGTGTGTGTGTGCACGCGCGCTCTAACACAGACCCACAGAAACACAGACTGTGTCCAAACCCTCCTTGGCCATTTGTTGGGGTGGAGACTGAACTCTGTGTTTACAGAGACAAGGATTAGAAGTCAGAGAAACTCTTCAAAGAATTGGAAATTAGAAACATAGATTCGAGGTGGCTCAGTGGTAGAGTGCTTGCCTTACATGCATGAAGCCCTGGGTTTGATTCCTCAGCACCACATACACAGAAAAAGCCGGAAGTGGCGCTGTGGCTCAAGGGGTAGAGTGCTAGCCTTGAGCAAAAAGAAGTTCAGGGACAGTGCCCAGGCCCTGAGTTCAAGCCCCAGGGCTGGCAAAATACAAAAAAGCAAAGCAAAGAAATGAAGCACAGATTTGAGAAGAAGAGGAGAAGTAGGAATGGAAAAACATGGATCTCACTTTCTTGAAAGTCAGATAGTTTTGTCCCAGTATGCCTGGCTCGTTTGTGGAGATGAGGTCATTCTTCTTTTTGATTGGTTGTGGGGCTTAAACATCTGGGCTTGGGCGCTGTCCCTCAGCTCTTCAGCTCAAGGCGAGCACTCTACCACTTGAGCCACAGCACCACTTCCAGTCTTCTGGTGGTTCATTGGAGATCAGAGTCGAGCGGCCTTTCCTGCCCGGGTTGGCCTTGAACCGCGATCCTCAGATCTCAGCCTCCACTGAGTAGCTAGGATGACAGGCGTGAGCTACTGGGTACCATCCTGCTTCACCCATTGTTTTGTCTATCTCTTC